CTATTCTCACTGTTAAATATGAAACACTATAAATTCCCTTTACAATCTTAAACACCTCAATCAGATCCCCTCTAACTCTTCTGTTTTCAAAAGAAAACAATTTGAAAGATCTCAACTTCTCCTCGTATGACAACCGCTCCGTCCAAGGCACCATTCTCTGAACCCTTTCTAACAATTCAATGTCTTTCCTAAGGTAAGGAGCCCAAGACTGAACACAATATTCCAAATGTGTCCTAACCAGTAACCTATAAAATAAAATTTTAACCTCTTTAGAATTATATTTAATATTTCAATTAAAAAGAGGAAAAGTCCTGATTCTGGGCTCTGAGATGCCTCACATATGAAATTAATCCAGTTTGAATGATCTCTATTTATAACAATTTAACCTTTTACTTTCTTCTATCTAACTTTTATTTTTTCAATCTGAAGTGCTATCTTAGTACCCATACGTATATAGTTTCTTAAACAAGCCTTTTATGTGGCATCTGATCAAAATCTACTGAAAATCCAGTTATACCAAATGCACACCTTCATCTCCATAAGCAGTAACCTCTTCAATAATGTTGAAACTGAGAGATTAGCAAGGCAAGATTTCCCCATAGTAAAACCATTCTGATTACCAAACAAAATTTTAAACTTTAAGTGACTTTGCTAAGCATCTTTTAATTTTTAACACTCCCAAAAAGTTTTCCCACCAATGATGTGCCTATAACTAATAATTAAAAATTTTCCCAGTATTGATAATGATAAATTAGTACTACTACTAGTTATAGTTTATGGTACCCCATTAAAACAGATGCTGCTGCAGAGCAGGTACAATGTATCACAGGACAAGCACATTGTTGCCCGAAGGAGATCCAGTAAGAGAGCCGAAAGCTCGCAAATAAGTATTTTAACGTAGAGAAAAGCCCATGTATAATTTTACAAATTACGTACTTTCAAGTCAAATGATACACTCATACAGCCACCTTGCCTGTTTACTCCCGTTTCTTTCTTTCTTATCACAGAACAACGATTGTAACATAGGTATATTTCCTATAGAGTTAGACCACTTTATAGTTATATGGTAAGAATCTTGGGATATATTTATTTCTCTTAAAATGACGAAACACCTTACTTATACTTGTTATAACTTATAGTATACTTTTTATAGTGTAACTACTAATCTATCATTGTCAATACTAAGATATTGTTAATTTTTATCACCTCGCGGTCTAGTTGCAAATTGCAAGTTACTTCAATGAACAAAAACATTTGCACCGTGACTCAAATTTACCTTTACATAAATCGGCAATCTCAAAAGTGCTACCTGAAGAGCTTAAATACGAGTCTAGGTATTTTTTCCAATCACTAGAAATTATAGAATTTGACGATTCCATGTGTGATATTCCAGCCATATTGACAACAGCACACCCTTACAACATGAATATGCAAAACAATTTATCTGGATAAATGCAACAATGATATCTCGTTGAATAAATGACACAATACTCTGCTTTTAAAACAATGATACATATGTGTTTATGTTGTTTAATATGAGAATCCATTTACCTCGTAGATGATACTGAAAAATTTTTGTTCAATTATTGAGCTTAAAAAGATTCTTTAAATGAATATAATTTCCATAAAATACGCTCAACTAGCCTACCCGACCTCACTAGCCTAGCGGCAAGTTTGCAGACTTACGACGATAAAAATTGGGCTGAGGTGGGTAGAACACAGATAGCCCATTGTGTTTAACAACAACAACTAGCCTACACATACAGAAAAGCTCAAAAGCTAGTTATGAATGTCAGTTATGAATTTTAAACTAGACAAGAAAAACTTATATCTTCTTTTTAAATTTGTCTAAGGACAAAGCTAATGTAAAATTCCTATCTGATGTCTGATTCACATTGTACAAAGGGTTCCATATAAATAATCACTTTATTTGTCTAATATATCACTGTAGAGCGTTTACTTCAAAATTACCGTTACCATCTATAATTAATTTATGTACACACAAACACCCATATATACACTGGGTGGTCACAAGTAAATAGACACCTAATTTGTCGTCATTTAACTGATTTATGCTAACTAATTTGTGTTCATAGAGCACTATATAAATGAAAATGTTCCGCAAACTAATTATCTTGTGCT